TTCCTACTTGGGCCTCCCCCCTGCCACCGTCTCAGGACAGGGGTTACCCCCAGCGGTCTGCCTGCCCAAGAGCAGAGGAGGCAGGACCTCGAAGGACAGCACCACAGCGGGGACTGCGGGTGACAGGGAGAAAGCAGAACCCTGTCACGGACGTGGCTTCCCTTTCCTCTGCCGCCATACTGGTCTTTGGACGCCAAAGGAGAGAACAAATAAAGATGGGAGGGCGGGGCTTAGCAGTAAGGGGATAAGAGCTGCCTTTGTTGAGGCAGAGGTGCCTGGCACCAGGTCAACTGCATCCTCCCAGACTGGAAGCCGAGTTAGCGACCACTAAACAGCGGGGGGACGAACAGCGGGGGGCACGGGGATGGTCCCAGTGACCGAATAAGGGCAGGGAACGGAGTCTGCAAACCACAGGCCGGAGCGCCTGATGGTGAGGCCTGGCCTGGGGAGTCGTGGTTCAGGGGCGGTTAGTGAACAGCTAGAAAAGGAAGCAGTCATCCCAAGGGGGCATCTGGCCGGGCCTACCACGCGCGGCTCCCTTTCTTGACGGGTCACTGAAGCGGTAAAGCAGGGGGACGCTCTCTGGATTTCAGGAATGTGCCATGTGCTTCATCATCAGGGCCTCCATTCCCTCCCCTGCTCAGATTTCCTCAGTCCTGCCTTCCCTTTGCCTTTCTCCCGATCTCCAGCCAGGAGAACCTTTCCAACTTGGGGCTTCTTGGCTCCTGCAGCCCTTATCCCCTCGCGCTACGCCTACCTTTTGACAGACTTCACTAGACTCCTCCCCACGGGCCTCCTTTGCTCCTAGTGATGAAGAAGGCCTGAGAGTCAACCCTGAGGACCCTCCCCTCCGTCCTCTCTTCCTTCCCTCCTGTCCAGGTGCACTGAGCCCAGCCCCTCCCATCAGATTGCAGCCGCTCCCTCTCTCCGATCTCCAACTTCTCCCCATCAAAGGGTTCTCCCCTGCTGCTCTCCCCCCCACGTCTCCACCCTTAAAAGCCTTCCCTAGACCCACCTCCCATCCCCTGCAGACGCTGTCCCATATCTCTCCTCCTTTCCCAGCCGACCTCCCCATCCAATCCCCAGCCTTCGGGGCTGGCCTTCATCGGAGAGCTGACAGTGCCTCCCCAAAGTGAAGGGCCAGAGATGTCTTCACTGCCAAATCTGGGATCTTTCCTCCAGCCTCGCTGAGCCACCCTCTGCTCCTGGGGACCCTCTCCTCTGACTGCATGTCGTGCTGGGCTCTCCTGACCTCGGCCTACCTCTCTGACTGCCCCTCCTCGGGCCCCTCTGCTAGAGGCTCAGCCACATAACAGCCCTGTCACTTGGAGGGTGTCTGTCCCCTGCCTGAGCCCTCCTCTCTCCCTCTCTCTGCCTCTCTCCCTCCCTTTCTCCCTCTCCATCCCTCTCTTCTCTGTTTCCCTCTCTCCATCCCTTTTCTCTCTCCCTCTTTCTCTCTCCATCCTCTCTTCTCTCCCTCTTTCTCTCTCCATCCCTCTCTTCTCTCTGCATTTCCCTCTCTCCGTCCCTCTTCTCTCTCCCTCTTTCTCTCTCCATCCCTCTCTCTTCTCTCCCTGTCTCTCTCCATCCCTCTCTTCTCTCTCCCTTCCTCCCTCTCCATTCCTCTCTTCTCTCTCTCTCTCTCTCTCTCTCTCTCTCTCTCTCTCTCCCTCTCTCTCTCTCTCTCTCTCTCTCTCTGCCTGTCCTCCCCACCTCTCTCTCTCACCCTCCGCAGCCTCATCAGCTCCCTCCCAACTGGCCTCCCTACCTCGGGCCTCTGTCCACACCAGCCCATCCTCCACACCGCTGCCCATCTAACCGGGGACCTCCCCTTCTGGTCAGCCCCTATATAGGGGTTCCCCCATCCCCTCCAGGATCAAATACCAACTTTTCTGCTCAGTTTTCAGAGTCTGATGCTCTGGCTCCAGCCTCATTGGGCATGACTCCTCCTCCTGTCCTCTGCGTCCGGCCACGCTCCCCTTAGGTGTGGACTGGCCACCCTGAGGCCTGGAATGCTCTTCCTCCTCCGGGGCGCATCCCGGATCCCTCCCGTCCTCTAAGGTGCTGCAGCCCCTCCCCGCCCATGCCAGGCCCCTGCTCACCCACCGCTGTCTTCCCGTGTGTGCGCCTTTACACGTGTGTGCACACGTGTATGTGCTCACGTACATATGCACATCTGTGTGGCCCTTCCACTGATGTGGGGCACACTTCCCCTTGCACCTGCATGTGGAGCCCACGAGCGTGACCCCAGGAGCCCACGGAGCTGTCCGCTCCCCACAAGCCGGGGTTGGGATCCTTCTGGTCTCTGTGCTTGTATCTCCAGCGCCCAGCACATGTCTGGCACAGAGCAGGCGTGTGATACGTATGTATTGAAAACTGAGGCAGGTGAATGTAACAGAACATCATCGCGCCCTCAGAAATGACGGAATGGCCACCTGAGGCAGCAGAGCGGAACCCAGAGAACAGTTTACCCGCCGCCCCTGACCGAGAGGGGATAGATGCACAATGCAGGAAACACCATCTTCTGGGGGCAGCTAGGGGGCGCAGTGGAAAGCGCGTGGGACCCCAGGTCAGAGCAGCCAAGGTCCAAAGCAGCCTCCTCACTTCTGATCGGCTAGCTGTGTGACCCCGGGCAAGTCCCTCACCTGGGTGCATCAGTTTCTTCATCTGTAAAATGGGCATAACAGCACCCACCTCCCAGGGTTGTTGCGATTCTTCAAAAGGACGCTCCTTTTCAAGGAGACCTTAAAGGGCAAGGTAAATGCCCACCAGTGTTACGATCATCTTTGGATCCAGCCAAAGAGAGAGAATCTGCTTTAACTAACATCACATACTTGTCAGAAGAATTTTCTTTTCGCTTTCGGGGGGGGGGGGCGGGGCAGCTGGGTTGCACAATGGTTAGAGCTCTGGGCCTGGAGTCAGGAATTCCCGAGTTCAAATGTGGTCTCGCATACTTGCTAACTGTGTGACCCTGGGCAAGTCACTTAACCCTGTTTACCTCAGTTTCCTCATCAGTAGGATGGAGATAACAAAAGCACCAACGTCCCAATGAGATTACAATTGTAAAGTGCTCTGCATATGCCTGGCACACAGTAGGCCTATATAAATGTGAGCTATTATTTATTACGAGTTCAGCACACACCTGGCACACAGTAGGAGGCGACATAAATGAGAGCTATTATTATTTATTACAAGAGTTCAGCACATGCCTGGCACAGAGTAAACCTACAGAAACGAGAGCTATTATTTATTACGAGAGTTCAGCACATGCCTGGCACACAGTAGGCCTACATAAACACGAGCTATTATTTATTACAAGAGTTCAGCGCATGCCTGGGACACAGTAGGCCTAAATAAACACGAGCTATCATCATTATTATTAGAAGAGTTCAGCGCATGCCTGGCACACAGTAGGAGCAACATAAATGTGAGCTATTATTACTATTTATTAGAAGAGTTCAGCGCATGCCTGGCACACAGTAGGCCTACACAAATGCACATTGTTATTATTTTGTTGTACTTCAATGGGGGGAGAAGAAGGGAAAGAAAGTGCAAAGAGAAGACGCTTCTTGATCGATGCTATTTTTGTGGACAGCGTGCGTGAGGCCGTGGGACAGCTGTGGGGGCCCAGAAGGGCCTGACTGGGCACTAAGGAGAATGAGGAGCAGCATGGAAGGTGCGTCTCTGTGTGGAAGAAGGTCTCCAGTGGACGGCCCCAGGGATCTGTCTGTACCAAAGACTAACACGGAGACATTGCAGCCGCTCAGCCAACTGTAGACGGGAGTCTGGCAGGCAGAATTTGTGCCTGAAGAGATCTCCACAGGCTAGAATTTGGAACTCAATCTAAGAAGATGGAATAGTGATAAATGTGGGTCAAAAAAATCGATAAGTACCAGAGAGGGATGGCCATGGTTGGAGAGCAGTTTGTCTGAAAAAGATCTGGGGGTCTGAGAAGGCCACAAGCTCAGGGAGAGCCAAGAAGGGGAAGGGACCGCCAAGAATGCTAAGATACCTTGGGTTGCCTCAAAGGAAACACAGCCTCCAGAGGTGGGAAGATGATTACTCCACGCTGCTGCCCCGGTCAGGCTTCCTCTGGGGCATGGGGTTCCGTTCTGGGGTAAACAAAAGGTGAGCCGGGGAGGGCGACCGGGATGGGGAAGGGCCTTCAAGTCTGGCTGCAGGAGGCTCAACAGAAAGCATGGGGGTCACCCAGTGTGGAGAAGGCTCAGGAGGCACGAGGGAGCCGCCCATCACCACACAGGGAGGGGGGATCGGCCTCGTCTGTGACCCACAAGGACAACTGTCCCCAGCTGGAATGGCTGTCTGTGCAGGTGGGAACCTCCTCAGCAGGCCCTCCAGCAAAGGCCGGCTGACCACTCCTCTGGGGTCGGGGGGATGAGAGCCTGGCAAACGATGGGGGGCTTTACAAGCTCCTGTTTAGGGGCTGGAGCGCAGGGCTGGGCTGGGGGCCCAAAGCCACGAACAAGAGCGCGTCACTGCCTCACAGGTGGGCAAGGCCCACCATGGACTTCCATGACTCCACGACTCCATTGCATCATCCACAGTCGCTCCAACCAGGGCCGCCCTGCTGGGGGACCTGCTCCAGCCCACATTGCCTCCTCATGCCAGGGATGAGGCCCAAGGCGATGGTCCATGAGGGGATGGCCTGGAGACTGATGGTCCCAGAGGCGATGGCCCCAGATATGATGGTTCTAGAGGTGATGGCCTCAGAGATGACAGTCCAGGAGGTGATGGTCCCGGAGGTGACAGTCTCAGAGGTGATGGCCCCGGAGGTGACAGTCCAGAAGATGACGGTCCCGGAGGTGACAGTCCCGGAGGTGATGGCCCTGGAGGTGACAGTCCAGGAGATGATGGTCCCGGAGGTGATGGCTCCGGAGGTGACAGTCCTGGAGGTGACGGCCCCGGAGGTGACAGTCCAGGAGATGATGGTCCCGGAGGTGACAGTCCTGGAGGTGATGGCCCC